TCTCTCTCTCTCTCTCTCTCTCTCTCTCTCTCTCTCTCTCTCTCTCTCTCCCCCACAGCTCCTGCATCCATCCATCCATCTCCCACCGCTTCATGGTGATCTCTCCGTCTCCTCCCCTCTGTGTCCTAGCCCACACAACTCCAAGAGTCCTGCCCTGTCTCCTTTTTCTCAGCCATTAGCCACTGGCATCTTTATTATCTATCAAAAACCAACTGGAGACAAGGACCTTTAGCTTTTGGACACAAAGATTCCTGATTGAGTCAAAAGCATTAGAACCAATCTCCAACACGTGGCTTTAATCCCAGCATGTAAGAGGCCAGTCAGTGTAAGCTGACTGTGAAGTTGAGTTTCCTACAGTCTACATAGTAAGAGCCTGTCTCAAAAAGAGAGAAAAGAAAATAAAGAAAAATTATACTTTCTTTGTTCTCTCTAAGTATTTAGGACTGATGTTTATACCACACAGAATATACCTGGTCTTTTCTGTATTTAGAATGGTCTGAACTTTATTCAAGGAGAAGATACCTATGAATTCCATATAGAAGAAATGGAAAGGATTGATTCAGGCCTGGAGAGACAGCTCGGTGGTTAAGAGTTCTTGCTGCTCTTGCAGAAGACTGGGAGTTTGGTTCCCAGCACTTCCAGGCTGATTTGCAAGCACAGTAAGTTTTACCCATATGCTTTCATTTTCCTCATAAATGTTGACTCAATTATTGATACCAAAGGAAAAATTTTGGAGGATGTTTGTGAGGAGGATGTTTGTGTATATCAGTATGGTGGTTTGAATAAGAATGGCCCTCATAGGCGCATAGATTTGAATAGTTGATCACCAAGGAGTGGCACTATTTGAAAGGATAAAGAGGTGTGATCTATTGTTGGAGGAAGTGTGTCACTGGGTTTCTCTCTCTCTGATGGCCCGCGTGTAATCGTCTCGCCAGCAAGAACGCATGCAGGCACCAGGATCCTTCTGCAGCAAACGTTTATTCCAAATGAAAAAGAGGAAAAGACCCCGGGCCCGGAAGAGGCACTGTTTATATACCCTTGGAGCGGCGTGTTCACTTCTGATTGGCTGCTTACTCGTTACCCGCCAAAACGCCCCGGGATGGGCTGTGACTTGGCGCTTTTTTACCATAGCACATGCACAGTTTACTTGTTTACTTGGAGGAGCACCGGATGCCAGCACCATCTTGTAATGGCGAATGCTGTCAGCACAAGCACGGCTTTCCACAGTGGATCTAGCCCTATGTAGGACTGTGAAAGGATGATTTGGTCTCCCTGGTAGAGCACTGGTTTTGAGATAGCTGGAGAACCAACAGGTGTCCATTGCCTGTGTAGGGATGGCACATATTTCGCCAAGCCCCCAGATTTCAGACTCCTGACATACAGTCTAGACCTCCATTTAACCTGCGCCTCGAAGTCACATTTAGCTATGCAGCCCTTCCCAATGGAGTGTCACCTAACACAACAAGAGGGCATTACTACAGGCTTTAGCTTCAAGAGATTTTCATATTCATGAGTTACCTAAAGGCCAGAGGGCATAGCCAATTACTTATTCCTTCCCAGTCCTCCCTCTCTTCCCCCTCCCTATTTAAGTCAGG